CACACACACACACACACACACATCCTTCCTTAAACTTCTAAGCTGAAAGAATTTCCCTTGGACCACGTCTGGCCCGGAACCACGGGAAAGCTCAAAGCTAACGCAGAGCTTTCCGCAGCTGTGATTCAAGTGCCAGAAAAGATCAGAAGGTTGAGACATCCAACGCACGCACGGAGGTGGTTTCCTCACTCTCTGTTTAGGGACCTACTGTGTGCAGTACGTCTGTGCCGAGGTGCCATCAAAATAAATAACATCTCCCCAAACCCCGAAGGAAAGGCGTCTGCCTTCAACATGAAAATCACTCCCAGAGGGCAGTCTGACCTCCCCTCGCAGCTCATTGTTTGGTTATGCAAAGCCTGCCTTTGGGTCATTTCGCTGGTGTCTTACCCTTTCTTCCTCTGCTTGTGGGTGACAAAGGCTTTTCGGTCCCAGAAGAGGTCACCCTGGGCAACGAGTTGACCCTCCAGCTGTCCCCCCACCCGATCCTTTGTCCCCTTTCTGGAATTGTCCAGGATGCAAGGCAGCTTTCCAGTCTCATGTTGATGTCATACTTTTTAGTCTACACAGGGCACCCATTCAAGCCTTGAGACCTCACGCATGCGCTATCACTGGCAGCTGGAAGAGGAGAGGCCCTCTGGGCTGATGACAGGAGGGCTGATGGCAGGAGGGCGGGGAGTCGAACCCACGTGGCATCCCACCGCCTGCAGTGGTTGTGGGCATCTCACACCTTTTCCCGCCTCACAGACCTGCTCCAAGCTCACACTTTTCATAGACTAGTCATCCTGGGGGAGGGCGGGGGGAGTGCTTATGTCCTTAGAAAGTGAAAATAAAAACCCGAAGTGTCGCCAAAACCGATTTGGCTCAGTGGATAGAGCGTCAGCCTACGGACTGAAAGGTCCCAGGTTCAATTCCCGTCAAGGGCATGTACCTTGGTTGCGGGCACATCCCCAGTGGGGGGTGTGCAGGAGGCAGCTGATCGGTGTTTCTCATCGATGGTTCTAGCTTTCTACCCCTCTCTCTTCCTCTCTGTAAAAATTCAATAATAATAAAAAAAATAATAATAAAGAAAGAAAACCCGAAGTGTCCAAAAGGAAGGCACACCATCTGATGGGAACACAAAGTCTCTCCAAGTGTGTCCGTGGGCTGGGTCCAAGCCCAACTCCTTGCAGAACTCTGGCTGAGCTGGGGGGGGAGGGGGGGCGGGAAATCCCTTCTCTCCCCAGGCCTCTGTGCAGGGCAAGGCTTATAGGATCTACAGAGAGGGGCAGGTTTCTGTCCCTTCCCTGCGTCCAGGTCTGGTCCCCAGGCCCCCAGGAGGGGAGGGGGGATCCCCCACAGAACACGCTGCTGCCGCTGCCGGGCAGGCTCCACCTCGGACGAGGCGTGCCCCTGGCCAAAGCCCAGGGGCCTCGGTCAGCAGCGACCATTGCTGCCAGGTTCCCACGGTCCGAGCAGGCGCATGGCGCATGCGTACTGAGCTGCCCCTCCGCGCCCGCCCGGGAGGGCGGGGCCCGCGGTGCCGGCTTTGCCTCCCGCGCCTGCGCCTGGCTAACGCCGCTCCAGGATGCGGGGGGATTAGAATGGGCTTTGCTCGCAGACAGGGAAGTGGAGAGACGCGTGAGGTCATCCCGGAGTCTAGACTGCTAGGGCAGGGGTTCTGAGAGCTCATTCACATTCCAGATCCCTGAGCCCCAGCGCGCTGGGCGAGACCCAAAAACCTGCATTTTTTTTAAAAGATATTTTTTATTCATTTTTTACAGAGAGGAAGGGAGAAGGATAGAGAGCTAGAAACATTGATGAGAGAGAATCATCGATCAGCTGCCTCCTGCACACCCCCCACTGGGGATGTGCCTGCAACCAATGTACATGCCCTTGACCAGAATCAAACTTGGGACCTTTCAGTCTGCAGGCCATCGCTCTATCCACTGAGCCAAACTGGTTTTGGCAAAACCTGCATTCTTTCTTCTTTTTTTTTTTTTAATTGATTTTTTTTTTTACAGAGAGGGAGAGGGACAGAGAGTTAAAAACATCGACGAGAGAGAATCATTGATCGACTGCCTCTTGCACACCTTCCACTGGGGATGTGCCCACAACCCAGGTACATGCCCTTGACCAGAATCGAACCTGGGACCTTGCAGTCCACAGGCCAACGCTCTATCCATTGAGCCAAACCGGTTTTGGCAAAACCTGCATTCTTAAGTCACCTCCAGATAACACTGCGGCTGGACCCACGCTCTGATTTCCAGAAACGTAGGAATGGGGAGCCTGGACGCAGAGACATGAGGGTCCCCACTTAAGGACAGGGAGAGCTAGTGTAGGACCCAGACTGGGGGCTTGTGCCCCACCGCGTGTCCCTCCTGCTGCCTTCCTGCCCTCTTGGTTTAATCAGTCCCAGAAGGCTGGGAGGCAGGCAGATCACTCCATGGCCGCGATGAAAGTCCCTCTCTCAGGACCAAGGAGCCCCACCCAGCCACACCACATCAGAGCTCCGAGCCCAGCCCTGACTGGTGGCCAGGACAAAGCTGAGTCCACACACACCCCCAAGGGATCAGTGGATGGTATGGGTGTGTGTACCCCATCCCCTGACACACTCTTGTCTGCAGGCAGTCATGAAGGAGTGTGTATGCCATCACAGGCATAACCCGACAAGAATGTAAAATGCTCCCGCCCTGTCTGGTTTGGCTCAGTGAATAGAGCGTCAGCCTGCGGACTGAAGGATCCCGGGTTCGATTCCAGCCAAGGGCATGTACCTTGGTTGCGGGCACATCCCCAGTCAGGGGGGGGGGGGGTTGCAAGAGGCAGCTGGTCGATGTTTCTCTCTCTTCGACGTTTCTAGCTCTCTATCTCTCTCCCTTCCTCTCTGTAAAAAATCAATAAAATATATTAAAAAAAAAAAGTAAGGAGCAGTGACCCCCGTCTAGGACAGCTGGATCCTGTGTGCTCACAGACACTCTCCATGGCCCTGGATGGGGAAATCAATATTCCCCTTGTATCCCCTCATGAGCAGCGGCATCGGAGAGGAGAGCAGAGATCCCTGTGCCCGCGCCCACACCCCTCCAACCCCCACACTCCGCACCCCCAGCAAAACCCCGTGGGGACCCTATTTGCTTTCAGAACGACATGCCCTCTCTCCCATGGAGGGAGAGCAGCTAGCGAGTATCTCTGCCAGGTCCCACCCCCTGCAGGGTCCTGGGGATCATTCTGTGGGCCAAGCTTGTCACGAAGTGTCCCTTTCCTCTCATCCTCCCGATCTCTGAGCCTTCCTCTCGGTCCTGTCCTGGCCCGGCCTCAAAACCTCAGGCTGCAGCTCTTTCCGAGAAAGCCAGGCACACAGCTGTGAGCCCTATTCCCTGGGAGGGAGAAGGGAAAGGGGAGGGGGGGTCCGAGCTCTCCCTCCTGGCCCCAGATGTACAGAAACAGCTGTGGGGTGGCAGGAAGCCCAGCTGGCAGCTCCGCGGGGCTTGGAAAGATGGAGAACATGGAGGGGAGACGGGCAAAAGACAGGATTATCAGGATTCTGGACACCCGTGGATGGGAAGGGGCATTTCACACACTCCTCCACACACACCCAACCCCCCCCCACCTTCCCCCACCCTCCCCTGCCGGCCTGGCAACTCACTGGCAGGCCTCGCCAAATCCCTTAGCTGCTCCCCGGGCCCTGCCCATCCCGATCTTGGCAGGGCCTTCCGTTGTGTGATTCCCAGTTCATCTGAGAAGGAAAACTTGGCTTCCTGCGTCTCACTCCACCCCGTCCTCAGACACGGCCCTGCACGGGATTTCTGAAAGCTCAAGCCGGCAGGCGAGAGAAAGGAAGGTGGGAGAGGGTCCAGCCGCTCCTATGGGGCATCCTCCGGCCCCGCCCCGCCTCTAGGAAGCGAACCAGGATGCAGGATGCCAGGGGGTGTCTGGCAGGTAGGGCCGCTCCGGGCACCACCTGCTCGCCTCCTACGCGCCAACGTGACAGTGTATGACTTGGCACCGAGCACCGGCCTCAAAAAGTGCATTTCCTGCCAAAACCGGTTTGGCTCAGTGGTAGAGCGTCGGTTTGCGGACTGAAGGGTCACGGGTTCAATTCCGGTCAGGGGCATGTACATTGGTTGCGGGCACATTCCCAGTAGGGGGTGTGCAGGAGGCAGCTGGTTGATGTTTCTCTCTCATGGACATTTCTAGCTCTCTATCTCTCTCCCTTCCTCTCTGTAAAAAATCAATTAAAAAATATATATATTTAAAAAAAAAAAAAGTGCATTTCCTGAGTGACCGTGGTCTGCTCTGGGTCCCACGGCCTTTCATGAGCCTGTCCACTGCCAGCCCACCACCCACTGCAGCCCACCACCCACCCACCCACAATCCCCCTTCCTTCCCCCCCCCCCAGTCTGAAAGGACACTGGGTACCACAACTGCTTTGTTGTAGGAAAAATAGTTTAATTTGCTTGGTACCTCTTTTCTAGATGAGGCTCCTTCACCAGGGAACACCCCACCTCTGCCCTTCCCATGCCCGCTGGGAGGAGCAGCCTCTCCCGGGAGGACCCCCACACGCTCCAGACAACCCCCCTCCGGGGAGGGAGGCCTGCTCTGGGTCTCCGTGGGCCCGTCACGTCTGTGTTTTTATAAAAAGTGGTCCGGACACTGTCTATGCCCCCTTTCCTGGATGCCACGGGACCAGCCCACAGCACCTTCTTCCCGTGAATTAAATAGCCTATTAAATAACCTCCCGGCGCCGACAGGCAGGAGGCGTCCTGGCCACAAGCCCCCGTCCTCCACCGGCAGGCCTCCCGCCGCCCCAGGCCTCCATCCTGGCGAGCTGGCTGGCCTCCGCAGAGCAGTCGGGCGTGGCCTCCCTCCTCTTGGGACTGGCTAGTCCCGGGACCCCTCCCCCCCACACACACACAGGCGAGGGGGCGTCCACGCCGGCCACGTTGGCACAGGCACCCCCACGGCTATGGCTGGGGGTCGCGCAGGCAGCGGAGTGGGCAGACCGATGGGTAGCGCTCCTGCCCACGTCAGAAGTACGTGAGGTTCTTGACTGCTCCGATCTCCAGCATCCGTTTGATGGCCAGGGCCTCCTGGGAGACGTTGTGGCCTGAGCCCTGTGGAGGCAGCCGAGGAAGCAAGCTGGGGGGGTTCTGGGGCTGTCCCTGGCCCGCCCACTGCCCCGCCCTCCCGCAGCCCCTTCCCCAGGTTGCCCCTGAGAAGCAAGACCACCTAGCGGTCGAACCCAGGGAACGCTGGCCTGACTCTGAATGACCTCACCACCGGGAGCCTTCTCGGGGCCCCTGGTTCCTGTCACTCGCCCAGGGTCCACCCGGCTGGTCTGCTCCTCCCAGCCTGCAGATTACTTACCGCCATGGACTTGAGCGTAATCTGCTCGTAGTAGTGGATGGTCTGCTTCCTGTTGTGGGCGTCCGGGTAGCCGAAGCCGGCAATGTGCACCACGTCGCAGAGGTGGAGGGCCAGGGTGATGGCCAGCAGGCCTGTGGTGGGCTTCTGGGGAGCACGGGGAAGGGGGGAGCATTAGAGGGGCATGCTTCTCTGGGCACCTTTAGGGCAGCCTCTGTAACAAAACTGTGCCACAGTTGGCACGTGAGCGAGTGAACAGGGATCATGGAGCCGAGGGACTGAATTGTTCATTTTTGTTCATTTCTTTTTTTTAAATATATATATATAATACTGGAGGCCCGGTGCACAAAATTCGTGCACAGGGGCAAAGGGGTGCCCCTCAGCCAAGCCTGCACCCTCTCCAATCTGGGACCCCTCGAAGGATGTCTGACTGCCTGTGGGATCAGGCCTAAACGGGCAGTCGGACATCTCTCTCACAATCCAGGACTGCTGGCTCCCAACTGCTTGCCTGCCTGGCTTCCTTTTGCCTGCCAGCCTGATCACCCCCTAACCACTCCCGGCCAGCCTGATTGATGCCTAACTGCTCCCCTGCCAGCCTGTTTGCCCCCAACTTCCCTCCTCTGTTGGTCACCCCTAACTGCTCTCCCCTTAAGGCTTGATCACCCCCAACTGCCCTCCCCTGCAGGCCTGGTCCCTCCCAACTGCCCTCCCCTGCTGGCCATCTTGTGGTGGCCATTTGTGTCCACATGGGGGCAGGAACTTTGACCACATGGGGGCAGCTATCTTGATCTTGTGTGTTGGAGTGATGGTCAATCTGCATCCAACTCTTTTATTAAATAGGATAAGCTAATCTCTCCCCCCCCCCCATATATTTTTATTGATTTCAGAGAGGAAGGGAGAGGGAAAGAGAGCTAGAAGCATCCATGATGAGAGAGAATCACTGATTGGCTGCCTCCTGCACACCCCACACTGGAGATCGAGCCCACAACTCGGGCATGTGCCCTGACTGGAATCGAACCCGGGACCCTTCAGTCCGCAGGCCAACGCTCTATCCCACTGAGCCAAACCGGCCAGGGCTGAATTTTTTTCATTTCATTGTACTGAACTGAAATGGCCATATGTGGCTCACAGCTACCATACTGCATAGCACAGACGGGGAAACTGAGGCTTACACGTCCTAGAGGAGCGGAAAGGAAGGCTCTGCTCTGAGCCTCGGAGGGCCTCCCCTCTTTTGTGAGACCTGGGGCCCCACGCTCACGGACCATGCGCCCTTCTGAGGAGGGCTCACCCCTCTGTGAAAAGGGGATGCGAGACTTTCCCATCCACCGCAGGGGCTGCTCTCACGACCTCCCGTTCGCCATCCCCAACTCTTCCACAGGGAGGGACAGCCTGTGTCCCAGCCTCACCCATCTCCCTCCCTCGCTCTGACTCCAGGCCTCGTGCAGAGGGGGGTTCCCAGTGTTCTTCTGAGCTCCGCTGTCACTGCATCTGCCACTTCCTGCCCGGGCCTTCTGCTCCCCCTGGCGCCTTAACCACCGTTGTTATCGCCTCCCGGTCAGAGCTTGACCCAAACCACATCCTCATTGCCTTCTGGCCAGCTCTGCCTGGACAGGGCCCCTGAACCGCACCCCTGTACCCCCTCTATCAGTTACACAAGTGCCTGCCCACCCAGTTGTCCAAGCTGGGAACCCAGACCTGTCACAGATCCCTCCCCTTTCCCCTGAGAAATGCATGTTGTCACAGAACTGGAAGACAACCCCCCCCCCCCGGGACCCTCACCTGTGTGTGTGTGTGTGTGTGTGTGTGTGTGTGTGGAAACTATGGTTTCGATAAGATCTATGACATTATGGTTTGCGGCTTTAGGCGGCCCCGGTGACCGTTAGAGAGATAACCCTGGTGGGCTTGACCTCATCTCATGAGCTTCTACTTCCGGGTCTAGAGGGCTGAGCAGGGGAGGGAGTCAGAGAGGGGAAGCACAAGAAGAATGATCATGATGGGGCTGGTCTGAGTATTGGGGGGGGGGGGGTGCGGGCGCATGGCAAGGAATGCGGGCAGCCTCCAAGAGCTGAGTTTGCTCCCCGCTGCCCTGGGTGAGAGCCAGCAGGAGAATGGGCCGTTGGTCCTGCAACTACAGGAAGTGAATTCTTCCCACGAGGATGAGCTTGGGCCTGGCTGGTGTGGCTCAGTGGTTTAGCACCGACCTATGTACCAGGAGATCAGGGTTCGATTCCTGGTCAAGGCGGGTGCCCAGGTTGTGGGCTCGATCCCCAGGATGGGGTGTACAGGAAGTAGCCGATCAGTGATTCACTCTCATCATCGATGTTTCTATCCTTCTCTCCCTCTCCCTTTCCTCTCTGAAATCAATAAAAAATATACTTAAAAAATAACAACAACAACAACAACAACAACAACAACAACAAAATAAACGAGCCTCCAGACAGGAACTCAGTCCAGCTGCCACCCTGATTCCAAGCTCGTACAGATACTCCCCGCTCCCCAAAAGTCCGTGTTATGCCTCTTCGCTTTTACAAAAGACCCACCACCATCCCTGGGATCGCTAACCAAGAGACACCCGAGGCGGGTTCTTGCTTTCATGAACCACGGCCAAAGGCAAGCCCAGCCTTCAGCATTTGTTTTGCAGCGAGCAGCCCCGCCAAACTCCTTTCCCCAGAACCACACCCAGCGTCAGCTGCCAGCGCCTCTGAACCGCCTCTGAACATCTGGGCTCCGTCTACCCTCTGCATCGTGAGCAAGACGCGGCCTCGGCATCCGTGCGGCCTGAGAGAGCGCGCCAGGGTGTTAAGCCTCTCGTAAAGCTGGACCTCGTTAAGTATTTTTTAAAAATATATCTTATTGATTTTTTTTTTTTTACAGAGAGGAAGAGAGAGGGATAGAGAGTTAGAAACATCGACGACAGAGAATCATCGATCAGCTGCCTCTTGCACATCCCCTACTGGGGATGTGCTCACAACCAAGGTACATGCCCTTGACCGGAATCAAACCTGGGACCTTTCAGCCCGCAGGCCGACGCTCTATCCACTGAGCCAAACCGGTTTCGTCTCGTTAAGTATTTTGATTATCATGAGAGAAATAAAGGCACAGACATCGACGGTAACCTGCTACTCTCAGATGCCGGGGGCCGGGGGGTAGGGGGAGAAGCTGCATACGTACCCCAGGCAGAGGACCCAGCCACCCTGAGCTGGCTTTCTGACCCCCCGGAACTAGGAGCGGGTAAGTGGTGCTATTTTAAGCCACTCAACGGTGGTCATTTGTTAGGCAGTGACAGGAGCTGGTTTGGGTCCCTCCTTTCTCTTGCCTTCACTGCAGCCTCGTGCCCCCTAAGGGGCATAAAACCTCTCCGCTCTACTTGCAATAGAGCCCAGCGCCAGGGTGTGTTTGTGAAGGTCAAATTGCCTACCTCTCCCCAGCTCCCTGCCTGACGGGCCAGCAAGAGCCAACCCAGCAGCACCTCCTGAGGGGGGGGGGATGGGGGGAGGCCTTCTCCGAGGTCCCACAGCACTTAGAACTCCGCTAGGGCTGTGGTCAGCAAACTGCGGCTCTCGAGCCACATGCGGCTCTTTGGCCCCTTGAGTGTGGCTCTTCCACAGAATAGCACGGCCTGGGCAAGTCTATGTTGAAGAAGTGGCCTTAGAAGAAGTTTAAGTTTAAAAACTGGCTCACCGAAACCGGTTTTGCTCAATGGATAGAGCGTCGGCTTGGGGACTGAAGGGACCTGGGTTTGATTCCGGTCAAGGGCACATACCTTGGTTGTGGGCATATCCCCAGTAGGGGGTGTGCAAGAGGCAGCTGATTGATGACTCTCTCTCATCGATGTTTCTAACTCTCTATCCCTCTCCCTTCCTCTCTTTACAAAATCAACAAAATATATTTAATAATAAAATAAAATAAAAACTGTGGCTCTCCAAAGAAATGTCAGTCGTTGTTGATATCTGGCTCTGTGGACTGATGAGTTTGCCGACCACGGGGCTGGGGCATGGGCTCCTCCCGTTGCTACCTATGTGTACTCTGCTGGCCCGAGTGTCCTCAGAGTGAGGCTGGTCTTAGGCTCCACAGCAGCGGTTCTCAACCTTTCTAATGTCTCCACCCACAGGGTGGGAACCGCTAGCAGGGTCGCCTAAGACCATCGGAAAACACAGATATTTATACTGCGATTCATTAACAGTGGCAACATGACAGTTATGAAGTAGCGACGGAAACAATTTTGTAGTCGGGGATCACCACCACATGAGGAACTGTATGAAAGGGCCGCGGCATCAGGAAGGCTGAGAACCACTCCTCTAAAGAGAAGACTACAGCCAAAAACCGGTTTGGCTCAGTGGTAGAGCATCGGTCTGTGGACTGAAAGGTCCCAGGTTCGATTCTGGTTAAGGGCATGTGCCTAAGTTGCGGGCACATCCCCAGTAGGGGGTGTACAAGAGGCAGCTGGTCGATGTTTCTCTCTCATTGACGTTTCTAGCTCTCTATATCTCTCCCTTCCTCTCTGTAAAAAATCAATAAAATATATATTTAAAAAAATAAAAAAATAAAGAGAAGACTACAACTGGTCCCAGCAACGCACCAGGTTACAGATTTTGGCCAGTGCCTGCCCAAACCATCCTCCAACTCCAACCGCCGGGCCTATAAACACCCTCTCCCACCTCTCCACCTTGGACATGCCCCGCGGCTCTCAAGCCTGTGTGCTCCCAGGCTGCAGCGAGCTAATAAACCCGACTACAGCCGAAACTGGTTTGGCTCAGTGGATAGAGCATCGGTCTGCGGACTGAAAGGTCCCGGGTTCGATTCCGGGAAAGGGCATGTACCTTGGTTGCAGGCACATCCCCAGTAGGGGGTGTGCAGGAGGCAGCTGATCGATGTTTCTAGCTTTCTATCCCTCTTTCTTCCTCTCTGTAAAAACTCAATAAAATGTGTTAAAAAAAAAAAAAATGACTACAGGTGGGCGCCCCACGGCTGGGTCCCGGCCGTCACAGGTGCCATTCCGTGACATCTGTTAATAACGCTCCTCTGTCTCTCCTGCCCGTGTCCCCAGCCCCGGGAGGTGCCCGGTCGCACCCTCACCTGCTTGATCTTGCGTGGCTGCTGCATCGGCAGGCTCAGCAGTTTTTCAGCTGCGATCTCCATGAAGAAGGGGTTGAGAATCCGAATCTGTTTGGGGTTCACGTCCCAGATGAGGGGAGGCTGTTTCCAGAAGCCCTTCTGCACCTGACAGGGGAGAGGGGGAGGATGAGGTTGGAAGGAAGAGATGGGGGCGGGCGAAGACCTGTTTGCAAGTCCAGCCCGGTGGTCCTCAGCCAGGGGGTGGGGTCCACATGATGGAGAGACACCCACCCTCCCCCAGGGTGAGGAGAGGGAGGTGATGGCCTGCACCCCAGACGGGAAGGGAGACCAGCAGAGCAGGGAGAGAGGGGAGAGCCTGTCAGGGGAGGCCAGGGGACACTGTGTGTTGAGTACAAAGTCCAGCCATTCCCACTCCCAAGGATCTCCCATCGGTGAATGGGTTCGAGTTTGGGTTTGTGTAAACACTTGGCAAAAAGTGCCAGGCTGCCGAAAACTGTTTGGCTCAGTGGATAGAGCATTGGCCTGCGGACTGAAAGGTCCCGGGTTCAATTCTGGTCAAGACATGTACATTGGTTGCGGGCACATCCCCAGTAGGAGGTGTGCAAGAGGCAGCTGATCGTTGATTCTCTCTCATCGATGTTTCTAACTCTCGGATATATATATATATATATATATATATATATATATATATATTAAGTGGCAGGCTGGAGAGCTGGGTGTGTGACTGAGTGGCAAAGGGACACAGTGGACCTTCTGGAAGTTTCTCCTGGAAGGGCCAGATCTCGATCGTCCCAACCTGCCCCTGCCTGGAGATGACTCCTGACCAGCTCCTGCAGCCTCGAGCTTGGGGTATCCTTGGCTGCCACCCGGCTCTAATGGGCACGTGGGCTCTGGCTGCCCAGAGGAAGTGGGCCTGGGCAGCAGGCGAGGGGCCTCTGAAAGCTCGGGGTGTCCTCTGGCTGCTCATCAGAAGCTGCAGAGACCGGGTTCCCGCCGCCCACCCCAGCTCCAGGACCGCAGAGCAGACGCCGCACCCCGGGAGAGGGCCTGGCTCCGTGCCGCCCCCACCCCGAGGGTCCCCAGCCTACCCGCTTCTTGTCACTCAGGATGGTCTCGATCCAGTGGAAGTCCATGGCCTTGAAGGCCACCAGGACGAGGAGCGTGTCGGGGTTGTTCTCCACCTTGGGGTTGAAGTGGGCGGACTCGGGGTAGAAGAGGCGCATGGTGGTCTTGGAGCCCACGTCGCCCTCGTAGCCGGCCACGGGGGCGTTGTTTAACCTGGGGGAAGGGGGGAAGGGGGGGAAGAGAGGGAGGACGCCATCACCCAGGGCCCCTCCCACCTCCGAGCGAGGCCCGTCCACAGCCGCCCCCCCCCCCCCCCCGCCACATGCAGGCAGGCGGAGAGGGCGCACAGACCTGATGACCATGTCGTACTTGTTGATGGCCTCGCCCAGCGAGCTGTTGCGCAGCCGGTGCCCGTTGCCCACCACCACGCAGCGGCAGCACTTGAGGCTGCCAGGGGAAGAGGGGGCTCAGACACAGAGACAGGCACTGTCCCGGGACGCCTCCCCAGGCCCCCACGGCCCCTGGCCCCCCATGGACCAGCCATCTGCACCAGTCCTGCCTCTGGCCCTGCTGGACACTGCGCCCCGGGTTCTATCCCCAAAGAAGAAACGGAGCGGAGGAAGGAAAGAGAGGAGGAGAGGCGGGAAGACCACTGAGGAGCACCAATAAGAAACCCTGTTTCATGTCGGAAACCGGTTTGGCTCAGTGGATGGAGCGTTGGCCTGCGGACTCAAAGGTCCCGGGTTCGATTCCGGTCAAGGGCTTGTACCTTGGTTGCGGGGACATCCCCAGTAGGGGATGTGCAAGAGGCAGCTGATCGATGTTTCTCTCTCATCGATGTTTCTAACTCTCTATCCCTCTCCCTTCCTCTCTGTACAAAAAAAAAATCAATAAAATATATTTTTTTTAAAAAAGAGAAAAAAGAAAGAAACCCCTTTTCACAGGCCCCTCGCCTGCTGCCCGGGTGTGCCTGTTGCCATGGCAACAGCCTCTGCCTGCTCCCGGGGCCCAGGCTCAGTTGCTGTGGGGACGGATGTACTGCCTCCCTGGAGACGGGCCAGCTAGGAAGACGGGTCAAATTGGCCACCGGGGACCCGAGGCAGGAAGGCTCAATGGGAGGTGCTGGGCCTGGCTGTTTCGTATTGGGGGGTGGGGGGGCTGAGGGGGAAGAGAGGCATTCAGACCCGAGTAAGAGGGCAATGCCCTTACCTCTGGAGGCTCTCGGGAATGGAGTAGCTGGTGATGGCCAGGACCCGGAGAAGCAGGTCTTCTGCAAAAGGAACCAATAGACGGGGCTGAGGACAGGAGCCCGCTTCACGAAGGCTGTGTTCTCGCCCCTTCACCCCTCAGAGCTTCACCCGCCTGCTCTGCCCCTGAGCCTGGGACTGTGGGTGGCGAACACTAATATATACTAGAGGCCCAGTGCACGAAATTCATGCACAGGAGGGGGTGTGTCCCTCAGCCCAGCCCGCACCCTCTCCAATCTGGGATATCCCTCTCACAATCCAGGACTGCTGACTCCCAACTGTTCGCCTGCCTGCCAGCCTGATCACCCCCTAACTACTCCCCTGCCAGCCTAGTGACGCCTAACTGCTCCCCTGCTGGCCCAATTGCCCCTAAATGCCCTCTCTTGCCAGCCTAGTTGCCCCTAACTGCCCTCCCCTGCAGGGCCTGGGTCCCCCCGAACTGTTCTCTCCAACAGGTCTGGTTGCCCCCAACTGCCCTCCTCTGCCAGCCTGGTCACCCACAACTGCCTTCCCTTGCTGGCCATCTTGTGGTAGCCATCTTGTGTCCACATGGGAGTAGCCATCTTGTGTGTTGGAGTGATGTAATTTGCATAATACTCTTTTATTAGATAGGAGATATATATGTGTGTGTGTGTGTGTGTGTATTTTTATTATTATTATTTTATTTTATTTTATTTATTTATTTTTTTTAAGAAAAGTGTGGTTGAGGCAAGCTCACTATTTCCACAAAACCAGGCAGAACTTACCACTCCCCTTGGTTCCGTAGGGCAGCTCGTAGGCAGAGGGCGTCTTCACCCAGAAATAATCCTTTAGCCGCAGGAAGATGGGCTGATCCCGGGAGTAACTGCAGGAAGGTGAACACAGGGCGGGAACTCGGAAGGGATTAATACTGACGCCAGCATCGGGGCCAGGCCCCCGGCTGAAAGTCTACATGCATGTCCACAGGCTCTCCGTCCTTCACGGATGTCACATCACCCGTGTCCACCAACGCAGCCCCTTTGTCCAGCTAGCAGTGAGGACTCCCCACTCGGAGACACTCAATCCCGGCACACCCCACCCACACTCAATGCCCCACCCACCGTAGCCTCAAGTACTCACTTGCCGAAGAGCTTAGAGACCTTCCTCTCCGCCTCACCCTGCAGGCACGACTCCTCCTTCTCAGGGATTGGAAAATAAAAACTGGGGATGGAAAGGGAAAGAGGCAGGAGCTCCAGTCAGAGCAGAGGCCCAGCCTCCTCCATCTCCCACAGCCCCTGGTCCCAGGCTTTGGACCGCAGCTGACAGGGTGGGATCATCTCAACTCAAGTTCCATTTTGAAAACAAACCATTGAGCCGAAACCAGTTTGGCTCAGTGGATAGAGCGTCGGCCTGTGGACTGAAAGGTCCCAGGTTCCATTCCAGTCAAGGGCATGTACATTGGTTGCGGACACATCCCCGGTGGGGGTGTGCAGGAGACAGCTGGTCGATGTTTCTCTCTCATGGATGTTTCTAACTTTCCATCCCTCTCCCTTCCTCTCTGTAAAAAAAAATCAATAAAATATATTAACAAAAATAAAATAAAATTTTTTTAAAGAAAACAAACCCTCCCTCCCCAGAGTTTTGTGTCCGTTGGTTGTACTTATATGCATGTATACAAGTCCTTTGGTTGATCTATTATTTCCCCCAGATCTCCCTATCCTACCTGCTGTAATTTGACAGTCTGCTTGTTGCTTTACTGTCTCTATATCTATCTTTTGGCTCATCAGTTTATAATGTTCTTTATTATCCATAAATGAGTGAGGTCATGTGGTGTTTCTCTTTCATTGATAATAATTTAATTTAAAAAATGTAAAAAAAAAAAATCTAGATATACATTGTTCAAATATTCTGAAAGATCAGTACTTTCTTTCTCATTACCCTAACATTTCTCTCGGAATCACATTCCAGAAGCAGGCCTTCAAAGTAGAAGGCAGAGGAGGTTCTACATTTATTACAGTGGCTATGTTCATCCAAAATAAATACACAATTACAAATTACAAAAAAAAAATGAAAAGAAAAAAAAGAAAACAAACCATTGAGAATGCAGCTCTTCCTGGTCCTGACACCCTGGCCAAGGGCCTGGGGGAGAAATCCCAGACCCGACACCCCCCCCCCCCCAACTCACCCCCTAAGAATGTCACCCTCCCGGGAGAATTCCAGGCTGAGCTCAGAGGAGAAGCCACACTCAGGCTCTGAGCCCCCCTGCCCACTCTGGCCCTCCCTAGGACGTTCCGTCCGGAGTCCTGCTCCCGAGAGGAACCGGCGGCGGGCAGCCAGGGAAGCTGGACTCACAGCTCCACGTACCTGTCTTCCCGGGAGATGGAGTACAGCACCATGATGACCAGGACCAGCGCCAGCATGGCCAGGAGCTTCCAGCCTGCAGGGCACAGGCACAGAGGGGCTGGAGGCAGAAACAGGCAGGTACCGTCCCAGTCCACCCTCTCGCCTGCCACCCCCAACGCCAGCCACCCTGAGCCTGGCCCTCGATTTCCAGCCCGGGCCTTGGACCTGAGCTGTTTCCAATGTCTTTCAAGAAGAGGGAGACTGAAACCGGTTTGGCTTAGTGGATAGAGCATCGGCCTGTGGACTGAAAGGTCCCAGGTTCGATTCCGGTCAAGGGCATGTGCCTTGGTTGCGGGCACATCCCCAGTGGGTGGTGTGCAAGAGGCAGCTGATGGATGATTCTCTCTCATCGCTGTTTCTAACTGTCTATCCCTCTCTCTTCCTCTCTGTAAAAATAAGAAATAAAAAATAAAGGAGTAGACGGGGGCCCCCTAGCTCCCTGTCTGTCCCTCCCAACCCCCCGGGGGTCCCAGGATGCTACCCAAGACTGCTTCTGGGGGGGGGGGGACCCACGCATCTCAGGGTGGGGAGATCCGGGACAACACTCACGGGACTTGCTGATCATGTTTCTCAGCGGGAAGCAGGGTTCTTGGGGAGAGCTGACATCCCGGCTGCCTCGAGCCACCTAGGAAGTGGGCGTCACAGGTGTCTGGTCAGCGCAACTCACACACCTGCCAGGTGTTGGAGAGGACACGCCCACGGCCGGCCTCCTTCCGCCTCCACCACCCACACAGAACTGCTTCGGGGCGGCCATCCATGGAGGGGGGCCCTGCTCGCCCCCGACGCCCCCAGCTCCTGGAGGGCAGCATCCGGGGTCCCGGAGGTCCTGTGGGGCAGGAAGGGGTGCCAAGCCCAACTCTCAAGGAGAACTGGCCGGCCCCAGCTCCCCTGGTGGGGTTCCCGGCGTGCTCCTCTTCCCCGTTTTGATCTTGGGAGGGCCAGCAGCTCCGGCGGCCAACGGGCACCTCCACCCACTTTTTTTTTTTTTAATAGGAAATTAATAGCTAACCGAACAAAGGGTGTGACTCAAAATTTATATAACTGAACTTGAGCTGTTCGCCGCCTCCCAAGGCCTCCCCTCGGTGCTGGCCACCGGCCACCTGCCTCCCCATCACCCGTCTCCCACGACTCCCTCCACGCAGCCTGCCCAGGCCAGACAACGGGGTGAGGGCGCCGCTGTGAGCCGGCCCACGAGGCCTCTCCAGCCCTTCTGGACTCTGATTAAATGCAGACAGTGTCCGTGCCCTCACCCCTCTCCCCCCCGGGCGCACGGGAAGCAGAGAAGACGGGTGTTTGAACAGGGAGTTGGGGAACAGAGGGCCTATTAGCTCAGAGGAGGTGGGAGACCCTCTCAGGGCAGGGCAAAGGCCAGGCTGTGGAAGCGGGAGCTGCCACCGGCACGTTAACAGAGAGGTTCCTAAATCCCCAAACTCAGCCGGGGCCACACTTTAGGGTCACGGGTGGGGGGAGGGGGAAGAAAGAGAGGGGAACCTTCTGCAGCTTCCATAGCCACATGAAGAGGCGTGGGGTGCCACCAAGTGCCCAGTTCTTTCTTGTTTTAAATACACACACACACACACACACACACTAGAGGCTCAGTGCACAAAATCTGTGCAAGAGTAGGCTTCCTTCCCCCGTCTGCCTGCACCGGCTCCCCTCTGGCACCTGGGTCCCGGGCTTCCCTTGCAGCCCCAGCTTCATTGAGAAGGTCTCATTAGCATATGACGCTTTTATTACTAAGGATCTATTTTTAAATGTATTGATTTGAGAGAGACGTCGATTTGTGGCTCCACTTATTTATGCATTCACCGGTTCATTCTCACACGGGCTTGAAGTTCAAACGCGCACCCTTGGCGTATCAGGACGACGCTCTGACCCGCCGAGCACCCAACCAGGGCCTGAGCGGTCTCTTCTATCCATGCCGGGCTCCCCGGTCACCTGGATCCCAGGACTCACTGGCCACGTCCTAACACTCACCCTCCAGGGCCCTTCCCCACAATGCTTCAGTAACGGAGAGGACCCTGGAAGGCTGTTCCACTGCAGCTGGTTTGGGTTTTTGCTTTTTAAAAAAAATATATTATTATTGATCTTAGAGAGGGAGACAGAGTTAGAAACATCCATGATGAGAGAGAATCAATTGATCAGCACCCCACACACCCGCAACCCAAGCCTGTGCCCTGACCTGGAATCGAACCATGACCTCCTGGTTCATAGGTCGATACTCAACCACGGAGCCACACCGGCCGGGCCCCACAGCAACCGGTTTTGGGGACCAGGAGTGAGGAGCACTGATGCCTGCACTCTCTAGAATAAGCGAAAACCTCCAACATTTCTCCTCGTCTGAGTTTTCTTACAAATCACAAATCAATGATCCGAATTCTGTCCCATCTGCTCCAACCTGCCCTGCCCTGCCCCTCGGGGACATTCCCGGCTCCAAGAGGAGGCCCTGAGCCCTGAAGAATGAGCGTTGAGAGGGAGGAGAGAGTCATGAGGGGATCAGAGTCAGGGGTCCCAAGTCGGGTCAGCCAAACCCACCTTCTAACCCCCGTGGGGATGGCCCGTGACCCTGTCCAGTTCTAGGTCTGTAATCTGTACCCAGAAGACCCCAGTGAAAGGTGTGGTTCTAGTAACTTGCACCATTGCTTTCCCGAAAGTGCACGCCTCCCCTACCTACCCACCACAGCCACGGCCGCCAGCCCCCACGTCACCCCTTTATTGCCTTCTGGGCAGTTCTGGCCTGTAAGTGGCTCAGTGACTCACTTGTTTGCTGGCTGATTCGCCCACTGGAATGCAAGCTCAGTGAGGGCAGGACTCAGGACTGCCTGTCCCCACCCAGCCAGCTGCCAGCTTGCTGCCTGGCACGGAGCCAGCCCTCAGACTGCAGTGAGTGAGCCGCCCGGTGGCTCCTTTGGGGGCGTTCTGACCCCCAGTTTCTTTGGCCAGGAAGCTGGGAAGTTGGTCTTAGGTGTTTGCAGGTCAAAATAGATACCTGACCAGCAGCAGGGGCCTCCCTAGGAGACTGAACTTTCATAACCTCAGGCCCCTCCAGACCCACAGGATCAGAATCGGCATGTGACTGAGATCCCGACGAGGCTCAGAAGCGCCGGTCCAGAAGGTGGCGGCAGCAGGTTCCTCAAACTCCGGCCTGCCCAGTCTGACTTAGTGTGTGTGGGTGGGCCCGATCCTAACCGGCTTCCAGGGGGTGGGTGCCCTCTGCTAGGCTCAGACCAGGGTCCTTCCAGCTCTAGCATCTCCCTATCCTCTCCCAGTCATGACTCCTTTCATGACCAGGAGTCACCCCGTGCTCTCTGTAGCTCACGCCACTGATTACACAAGGCAGCGTGAGAAGTAAAAAAAAAAAAGCAGGTGTCCAGGCCCCACTTCCCAAGATTCCATTTATTTTTTATTTTTTAAAATATATCTTATTGATTTTTTACAGAGAGGAAGAGAAAAGGATAGAGAGTTAGAAAGGGATAGAGAGAGAATCATCCATCAGCTGCCTCTTGCACCACCCCTACTGGGGATGTGCCCGCAACCAAGGCACATGCCCTTGACCGGAATCGAACCTGGGACGTTTCAGTCCGCAGGCTGACGCTCTATCCACTGAGCCAAATCGGTCTCGGCCCCATTTATTTTTTAAATATATTTTTATTGATTTCAGGGAAGAAGGGAGAGGGAGAGGAAGAGGGAGAGGGAGAGGGAGAGGGAAAGGGAGAGGGAGAGAGAGAGAGAGACATCAATGAAGAGAGAGAATCACTGATCAGCTGCCTCACTGCATGCCCACACTGGGGACGGAACCTGCAACCCAGGCACGTGACCTGACTGGGAATTAAACCGTGATCTTCTGGTCATAGGTCAACGCTCGACCATTTGGGTCACGCCAGCTGGGCCCAAGATTCTCATTTAATTAGTTCGGGGCAGAGTCCAGGCATTGGTAAGTTAAAAAAACAAAAAACAAAAAAAAAACACACACAAACATGCAGCCAAGATGGAAACACAACACACAATGTGTCCGCAGCAACAGGAAGGCAACTACTCAGCCGCCTGCAGGCCGCCCTGGGTGGAGGAGGCCGGGGCCAGCCCAGGGACCAGCACTGACCGGGCCAGAGCAGAAACAAGACCAGCAGCCGCTTTGAACAAGAAAGTTCTGCCCTCGCGTCTCTGTCCCCAGACAGTGCTGGTTGATGCTCAGCAGACTGGCTGGTCTTGGGGCTTCTTCTCAGACCCTCCAGCTGGGATTTCATGAGCCCACCCCTCCCCTCAGCAGCCCCCGTCTCTCCTCCCCGACCTTCCAGCACGAGGGGTCCTGGGCTGGCTGCTACCTCGGGACAACCAGTAGCCTTCTCCCAGCAGCCCCCCACATTACTGACGGGGCCGCTCGGTACAAAAGGACAGAAGAAAACGCCACGTCGATACCTGGACAGGAGAGCAGGAGTCCCGTCCGCTCATGTCCAAGGGGCAGCAGCAACCAGCCACTAGCAGAGCCGTCTGGCCAGGAAGGCGGTGTGCTCTCCAGTGTCCCAGGCAGAAGTGAGGCTGCCGAGCGCAGCCCCCGAACTCGCCGAAGGGCTGATCAGAGGACGCACGGCTGAGGGACAGGGCCCCACGATGCAGCGACCAGCGACCATGACCTTCACTCGGGCACTCGCAGCTCACACACAGCGCGGCCTCCGCAGGCACCCGCTGTATCCGGAGAAACAGGACTGTGTTCCCCTAGAGCAGTGTTTCCCAATGTGTGGTACGCGTTGCACCCGAGTGTGGTGGGGATATGCACTGCACCGTGCTTAGTTGCGCCTAATTCTACGTTCTCGTGAGTACGAGGGGCACTCAGCGTTACGAAAATTATAGAAGGGGTATACATTATGTCAAAAGTTTGGGAAACACTGCCCTAAAGGGGCACAGCAGGATGCCAGGCTCTGCAGACCCCTGGGCCCACCCAGGGATACGGCTTAATGTCCCTCAGGAGGTCGTGGCAGGGGCATAGCAGGGAGAAGTGCAAGCGACGAGGCCTGGATCAATGGCAGGATCCGCCCGCCCGCCTGCCTGCCCTCCTGCCTGCGCTAGATTCACTCCCATGCCTGCTCCCTCCTAAGCTCTGGACACCGGGCCCCACTCAACTTTCCCATCACTGACCCCCTCTTGCCCTAACCCTTCCACTTCCCCTCCTCCCCTCCTTCTCCACTGCCTTTGACTCAGAAAGGTCCTCAGGCCTCCCTCTTCCTAAAACAAACACCCCCCCCCCCCCGGGGCCTCGGTCTCCCCCTCAAGCTGCCCCTGCATCTGTGTCCCGGTCTCCAATGGCTGAAGGTCCTTGTGCATGCTCCATCCTCACTTCCCACTCACCCCTCACCCCGCCCCAGCCCTGCCTCCCACCCTCACTTTCACGCTGAGGCCTCTGATACTGGCAGCAGGGCCCCTGGTGAAGATTCTCACAGGTTCTCCCTCCACCTGTGCGGGCGCCACTCCAGGCACCTGACCTTGAACCTCCCCTCCCCCATGGGACCTGTCCGTTCGCTTGCAGACCTTCAGCTACCATGCATGCCCCGATGGTCCGAGCTCTTGATT